GCAGCGTGGACGGGGGTGGTGAGGAAGGCAGCGTGGACGGGGGTGGTGAGGAAGGCAGCGTGGACGGGGGTGGTGGAGAAGGCAGCGTGGACGGGGGTGGTGGAGAAGGCAGCGTGGACGGGGGTGGTGGAGAAGGCAGCGTGGACGGGGGTGGTGGGGAAGGCAGCGTGGACGGGGGTGGTGGAGAAGGCAGCGTGGACGGGGGTGGTGGGGAAGGCAGCGTGGACGGGGGTGGTGGGGAAGGCAGCGTGGACGGGGGTGGTGGAGAAGGCAGCGTGGACGGGGGTGGTGGAGAAGGCAGCGTGGACGGGGGTGGTGGGGAAGGCAGCGTGGACGGGGGTAGTGGGGAAGGCAGCGTGGACGGGGGTGGTGGGGAAGGCAGCGTGGAGGGAAGGCAGGACAACTTGGCAGGGTGGGAGAGTGTGACGGGTTTTACCCCTCGCTCAAGCGGTGTGTCAGTACTCTCACTACAGCCCGTCCTCCTAAGCTTTCCCAACGTCAAGAAACTGTCGTACTAAGGTGCCCTTTCCTAACCTACCAGACGACCCAAAACGGTATAGAATGCTCATATCCCGAGCCGCTACCATTATCTAGTTCAACGATTTTTGGCCTTGGGTAAAGTATGCGTCATAATGCAACGCTCTGTTAGAAGGGATTGCTGAGTATGTGATCGCCTCCTGCAGCAGCTAGCATTATATTCTCTGCAACAGTGTAGCTGTTGATTCAGGATCTATAAGTTTACATGAAGAATTGTGGATTGAATGTTACCTATAGAATGCTCTTACCTATAGGGAAGGGGTGTAGAGATGTCCACCTTTGGCCACAGCTGACATGAAAATGAGTTTTCTCCTGGGCACTCGGCCCTGTTTTTCACTCTAATGGGTTTTCATTCTCTTCCCAAGAACCAGTCAACAATAAGCCTTTGGACTTCTCATCTCTTCTACTGCAAGACACAGCAAGAGTGGAGGTTATCTTGAGGTTATCTTGAGATGATTTCGGGGCTTTTTAGTGTCCCCGCGGCCCGGTCCTCGACCAGGCCTCCACAACAGGAGGTCCCTCCTGTGGAGGGCCCACAACAGCTGCCACCAGTACTGTTGTGACGACCTTTCAAGAGCCTTCACCGCCAGGCCAAACACCCTCTCCATCCTCATGTTATCATTGAGGCTAAATGAGGATAGACCATTAGTTGTTCTGTAATAATTCTACCCTATTTTCCCCCATGACAAGGCCCGATGTTGTTATTGCTGGTAATGAAGGTTTGCATTGATATAAAAGGTCATGTTCAAAGCAACCTAAGACAAGGAGTTGCCCTTGATCGCTAAACTCGCACAGTTACGCAACTCTACATGCTTTGGTTTTAAGTTTTATAACTTTTTTTTTCGTTGACCAATATATTATTGTCATCATCTTAACTTTAGGTGAGATGGATGACACCTGGGGCTATCCAGTTTTAGCTTCAGTAAAGAGTTAGGGTCTTGTTACCTCGAACCTGTCCGCCATCAACTGCTTGTGCTCCAAGCTGGTGTGGTAAGCACTAGGCTGCGACGCGGGCAATACCAGTAAACACCAGTCCCTCTGTCACCCTGTGGCCCACTGGCCCGTGGTCCACTGGCCCGTGGCTCACTGGCCCGTGGCCCACTGGCCCGTGGGTATCTGGCGGTGGGTTGGGAACGATAGTCGCCTCTCCAAGCGTCAAGGGGATACAGGAATAACAAAATTAGTTATTACATATAATAAGCGGTGACGGAAGAATCGTGGCATGACCAACACCGAACTCGACCACATCCCCATCATCGCGGCCTCAGCTACACAGCTCGTCCAATCCCACCTACGCACACTAACTTGAAAAACCATATTTATGATCTTAATTGTGTGATGTTGACACACTAGAGGGAGAAGTGCAGAAAGCAGCAGAGTCAGTCCGGGAAGCCAGGTACTGTATTGCCCCCACCCTGGTCCCCAGGTACTGTAGAGCCCACCCCTAATCCCCAGGTACTGTAGTGCCCCCACCCTGGTCCCCAGGTGCTGTAGTGCCCACCCCCTAGTCCCCCAGATACTGTAGTGCCCACCCCCTAGTCCCCCAGATACTGTAGTGCCCACCCCCTAGTCCCCCAGATACTGTAGTGCCCACTCCCTAGTCCCCCAGATACTGTAGTGCCCACCCCCTAGTCCCCCAGATACTGTAGTGCCCACTCCCTAGTCCCCCAGATACTGTAGTGCACCATCACCACCCAGCCCCGCCCTGTGTGAGCCAGCTGAGCTCACCGCCCCGCCCTGCCCTCAGCGCTCCTCTGGGGTAAGGCAGCCGTTCGCTTCAGCTCTTGGATGTGTTAGGTTTTTGTTGCTTGCTTCAGAGCGCCGTACATGGCTGCCAGTGAAGGACGACCGCCTCAGCACTCTCCTGGCGATATGTAAATACTTCTTAAGCTATCTCACATACCATACACACCACACAATGTGTAAACATGTCTTGGGACCTGACAGCTGAAAGGACAGCGCCTCAGATTCGTAGTCCTGAGGTTCCGGGTTCGGTCCCCGGTGGAGGCGGAAAGAAATGGGCAGTTTCTTTCACCCTGATGCATCTGTTGACCTAGCAGTCAATAGGTACCTGGGAGTTAGACAGCTGCTATGGGCTGCTTCCTGGGGGGGTGTAACATAAAGGAGGCCTGGTTGAGGACCGGGCCGCGGGGATGCTAAGCCCCGAAATCAACTCAAATTACCCCTTCAAGACACACCTGTGGACCCTTCAAGACATACCTGTGGACCCTTCAAGGCACACCTGTGAACCCTTCAAGAGACACACCCGTGGACCCTTCAAGACACACACCTGTAGACCCTTCAAGACACACCTGTGAACCCTTCAAAACACACCTGTGGACCCTTCAAGACACATCTGTGAACCCTTCAAGACACACCCGTGGACCCTTCAAGACACACACCTGTGGACCCTTCAAGACACACCTGTGGACCCTTCAAAAGACACACCTGTAGACCCTTCAAAACACACCAGTGGACCCTTCAAAACACACCCGTGGACCCTTCAAGACACACACCCCCTTTGGACCCTTCAAGACACCCCTACGGACCTTCAAGACACACCTGTGGACCCTTCAAAAGACACACCTGTAGACCCTTCAAGACACACCTGTGGACCCTTCAAGACACACCTGTGAACCCTTCAAGACACACCAGTGGACCCTTCAAAACACACCCGTGGACCCTTCAAGAGACACACCCCCTTTGGACCCTTCAAGACACCCCTACGGACCTTCAAGACACACCTGTAGACCCTTCAAGACACACCTGTGGACCCTTCAAAAGACACACCTGTAGACCCTTCAAAAGACACACCTGTAGACCCTTCAAGACACACCCATGAACCCTTCAAGACACTCCCATGAACCCTTCAAGACACACCTGTGAACCCTTCAAGACACACCCATGAACCCTTCAAGACACACCCATGAACCCTTCAAGACACACCCATGAACCCTTCAAGACACACCTGTGGACCCTTCATGAACCCTTCAAGACACACCCATGAACCCTTCAAGATACACCCATGAACCCTTCAAGATACACCCATGGACCCTTCAAGACACACCCATGAACCCTTCAAGACACACCCATGGACCCTTCAAGACACACCCATGAACCCTTCAAGACACACCCATGGACCCTTCAAGACACACCCATGAACCCTTCAAGACACACCCATGAACCCTTCAAGACACACCCATGAACCCTTCAAGACAAACCTGTGGACCCTTCAAGACACACCCATGAACCCTTCAAGACACACCTGTGAACCCTTCAAGACACACCCATGAACCCTTCAAGACACACCCATGAACCCTTCAAGACACACCTGTGGACCCTTCAAAAGACACACCTGTAGACCCTTCAAGACACACCCATGAACCCTTCAAGACACACCCATGAACCCTTCAAGACACACCCATGAACCCTTCAAGATACACCTGTGGACCCTTCAAGACACACCCATGAACCCTTCAAGACACACCCATGAACCCTTCAAGACACACCCATGAACCCTTCAAGACACACCCATGAACCCTTCAAGACACACCTGTGAACCCTTCAAGACACACCCATGAACCCTTCAAGACACACCCATGAACCCTTCAAGACACACCCATGAACCCTTCAAGACACACCCATGAACCCTTCAAGACACACCCATGAACCCTTCAAGACACACCCATGAACCCTTCAAGACACACCCATGAACCCTTCAAGACACACCCATGAACCCTTCAAGACACACCCATGAACCCTTCAAGACACACCTGTGAACCCTTCAAGACACACCCATGAACCCTTCAAGACACACCCATGAACCCTTCAAGACACACCCATGAACCCTTCAAGACACACCCATGAACCCTTCAAGACACACCCATGAACCCTTCAAGACACACCCATGAACCCTTCAAGACACACCCATGAACCCTTCAAGACACACCCATGAACCCTTCAAGACACACCCGTGAACCCTTCAAGACACACCTATGGACCCCCTCACAGCACACCTGTAGACTAAGGATGTGACAGAGAGATTAACTAGTCCTTGGAGTCCCTCAGCGCTACAGACGGCAATAGCATAGAGTGAGAGAGTCGTCTGACACTAAGAAGTAACCACACGTCGCTAGTATACGGTCCACAGAAAACGGTGTTCAGGGAAGATGTAAACAGTAAACTTGTCCTTCGACGAGGCATTGAGCACCCCTAAACTTAATTTGGAGTTTACCAACACCAAGTTTACTATAGTCTTTGAACATCGTTTAGGTCTAAAGGTATATATATATACTCTTCATATACACCGAGCAGCGGGGGTATAATTGTAATACAATTTATACAATTAGGAGTCTATATATAGAGTATAGCCGACCAGGACCTTGAGGTGAACTACAGTGGTATACACTCAGTTCCCTGAGTGAAGGTCGTTGTAACCACTTGCTTTGTCTTACACAGTAAACATGGATACCTGGACCTTTCTTGCCTCACCTCACTACCAGGTGACGCAGCCCCACCTGACGCAGTCCCACCTGACGCAGTCCCACCTGACGCAGCTCCACCTGACGCAGTCCCACCTGACGCAGTCCCACCTGACACAGCCCCACCTGACACAGTCCCACCTGACACAGCCCCACCTGACGCAGTCCCACCTGACGCAGCCCCACCTGACGCAGTTTTACCTGACACAGCCCCACCTGACGCAGTCCCACCTGACACAGCCCCACCTGACGCAGTCCCACCTGACGCAGTTTTATCCGACGCAGTCCCACCTGACACAGTCCCACCTGACACAGCCCCACCTGACACAGCCCCACCTGACACAGCCCCACCTGACACAGCCCCACCTGACACAGCCCCACCTGACGCAGCTCCACCTGACGCAGTTTTATCCGACGCAGCCCCACCTGACACACCCCCACCTGACGCAGCTCCACCTGACGCAGTTTTATCCGACGCAGCACCACCTGAAGCAGTCCCACCTGACGCAACCCCACCTGACGAAGTCCCACCTGACGAAGTCCCACCTGACACAGCCCCACCTGACGCAGTCCCACCTGACGCAGCACCACCTGACACAGCCCCACCTGACACAGTCCCACCTGACGCAGCACCACCTGACACAGCCCCACATGACACAGCCCCACATGACACAGCCCCACCTGACACACCCCCACCTGACGCAGCTCCACCTGACACAGCCCCACCTGACACCCCCACCTGACGCAGCTCCACCTGACGCAGTTTTATCCGATGCAGCCCCACCTGACGCAGCTCCACCTGACGCAGTCCCACCTGACACAGCCCCACCTGACACAGTCCCACCTGACACAGTCCCACGTGACACAGTCCCACGTGACACAGCCCCACCTGACACAGTCCCACCTGACGCAGCACCACCTGACACAGCCCCACCTGACACAGTCCCACCTGACGCAGCACCACCTGACACAGCCCCACATGACACAGTCCCACCTGACGCAGCACCACCTGACACAGCCCCACATGACACAGTCCCACCTGACGCAGCACCACCTGACACAGCCCCACCTGACACAGTCCCACCTGACGCAGCACCACCTGACACAGCCCCACATGACACAGTCCCACCTGACGCAGCACCACCTGACACAGCCCCACATGACACAGTCCCACCTGACGCAGCACCACCTGACACAGCCCCACATGACACAGTCCCACCTGACGCAGCACCACCTGACACAGCCCCACCTGACACAGCCCCACCTGACGCAGCTCCACCTGACACAGCCCCACATGACACAGTCCCACCTGACGCAGCACCACCTGACACAGCCCCACATGACACAGTCCCACCTGACACAGCCCCACATGACACAGTCCCACCTGACGCAGCACCACCTGACACAGCCCCACATGACACAGTCCCACCTGACGCAGCACCACCTGACACAGCCCCACATGACACAGTCCCACCTGACGCAGCACCACCTGACACAGCCCCACATGACACAGTCCCACCTGACGCAGCACCACCTGACACAGCCCCACATGACACAGTCCCACCTGACGCAGCACCACCTGATGCAGCACCACCTGACACAGCCCCACCTGACACAGCCCCACCTGATACAGCCCCGCCTGACACAGCCCCACCTGACACACCCCTACAGTACTGCTAGTCCACAGTACTGTGACGGGTGCTGTGTGTGCTGGTCCACAGTACTGTGACGGGTGCTGTGATCAGCTTTAATAATCAGCACAGTACGTGACTCTCAGGGTAAACAGTATTCAAAGTAAGGTGGTCAACTAAAGTGTATTAGCATGTAAAGTGTTTTCCCTGCTAGTGAGTGTGTGTGTACTCACCTATTTGTTTGTGCTTGCAGGATCGAGCATTGACTCTTGGATCCCGCCTTTCCAGCTATCGGTTGTTTACAGCAATGACTCCTGTCCCATTTCCATATCATACCTAGTTTTAAAAGTATGAATAGTATTTGCTTCCACAACCTGTTCCCCAAGTGCATTCCATTTTTCCACTACTCTCACGCTAAAAGAAAACTTCCTAACATCTCTGTGACTCATCTGAGTTTCCAGTTTCCACCCATGTTCCCTCGTTCTGTTATTATTACGTGTGAACATTTCATCTATTTCCACTTTGTCAATTCCCCTGAGTATTTTATATGTCCCTATCATATCTCCTCTCTCCCTTCTTTTCTCTAGTGTCGTAAGGTTCAGTTCCTTCAGCCGCTCTTCATATCCCATCCCTCGTAACTCTGGGACAAGCCTCGTCGCAAACCTCTGAACCTTCTCCAGTTTCTTTATGTGTTTCTTCAGGTGGGGGCTCCATGATGGCGCGGCATACTCTAAGACGGGTCTCACGTAGGCAGTGTAAAGCGCCCTAAAAGCCTCCTCATTTAGGTTTCTGAATGAAGTTCTAATTTTCGCCAGTGTAGAGTACGCTGCTGTCGTTATATGTGTGTGTGTGTGTGTGTGTGTGTGTGTGTGTGTGTGTGTGTGTGTGTGTGTGTGTGTGTGTGTGTGTGTGTGTGTACTCACCTAGTTGTGTCTGCAGGATCGAGCATTGACTCTTGGATCCCGCCTTTCGAGCATCGGTTGTTTACAGCAATGACTCCTGTCCCATTTCCATATCATACCTAGTTTTAAAAGTATGAATAGTATTTGCTTCCACAACCTGTTCCTGAAGTGCATTCCATTTTCCCACTACTCTCACGCTAAAAGAAAACTTCCTAACATCTCTGTGACTCATCTGAGTTTCAAGCTTCCATCCATGTCCCCTCGTTCTGTGTGTGTGTGTGTGTGTGTGTGTGTGTGTGTGTGTGTGTGAGTGTGAGTGTGTGTGTGTGTGTGTGTGTGTGTGTGTGTGTGTGTGTGCGTGCGTGTGCGTGTGTGCGTGTGTGCGTGTGTGTGTGTGTGTGTGTGTGTGTGCGTGCGTGTGCGTGTGTGGAGGCCAGACCTTAACCCTTACCATCTCATTCTTTAATGCTACAATATTCTTTTAAGGCCAAAATCCGTGTCTTGTAATATTCTTATCAATTTCATCTGAAGATATAAAATTCTGTTGACAAATTTGTGTTTCATTAAAAACTGTTAGAAAGTCGAGGTGGTGTGTGCTACACAGGTACACCCTACACAGGTTACACTACACAGGTTACACTCTACACAGGTACACTCTACACAGGTTACACTCTACACAGGTTACACCCTACACAGGTACACTCTACACAGGTTACACCCTACACAGGTTACACTCTACACAGGTACACCCTACACAGGTTACACCCTACACAGGTACACTACACAGGTTACACTCTACACAGGTTACACCCTACACAGGTTACACTCTACACAGGTACACCCTACACAGGTTACACCCTACACAGGTACACTACACAGGTACACTCTACACAGGTTACACTCTACACAGGTTACACTCTACACAGGTACACCCTACACAGGTTACACTCTACACAGGTACACCCTACACAGGTTACACCCTACACAGGTACACTACACAGGTACACTCTACACAGGTTACACTCTACACAGGTTACACTCTACACAGGTTACACCCTACACAGGTACACCCTACACAGGTTACACCCTACACAGGTACACCCTACACAGGTTACACCCTACACAGGTTACACTCTACACAGGTTACACTCTACACAGGTACACTACACAGGTTACACTCTACACAGGTTACACTCTACACAGGTACACCCTACACAGGTTACACCCTACACAGGTACACTACACAGGTACACTCTACACAGGTTACACTCTACACAGGTTACACTCTACACAGGTTACACCCTACACAGGTACACCCTACACAGGTTACACTCTACACAGGTACACCCTACACAGGTTACACCCTACACAGGTACACTACACAGGTACACTCTACACAGGTTACACTCTACACAGGTTACACTCTACACAGGTTACACCCTACACAGGTACACCCTACACAGGTTACACTCTACACAGGTTACACTCTACACAGGTACACTACACAGGTTACACTCTACACAGGTTACACTCTACACAGGTACACCCTACACAGGTTACACCCTACACAGGTACACTACACAGGTACACTCTACACAGGTTACACTCTACACAGGTTACACTCTACACAGGTTACACTCTACACAGGTTACACCCTACACAGGTACACCCTACACAGGTTACACTCTACACAGGTTACACTCTACACAGGTACACTACACAGGTTACACTCTACACAGGTTACACTCTACACAGGTACACCCTACACAGGTTACACCCTACACAGGTACACTACACAGGTACACTCTACACAGGTTACACTCTACACAGGTTACACTCTACACAGGTTACACCCTACACAGGTACACTCTACACAGGTTACACCCTACACAGGTTACACTCTACACAGGTTACACTCTACACAGGTTACACTCTACACAGGTTACACCCTACACAGCTACACTTAGATGTTTGTTGTGTTTCAGATTAAGCTACTCAGAGCGAAGTGTCCATGTAGCACGGGCTATGGTGAGCCCGTAACACTTAGATCTTATCTACCATCTGCAATATCTCAACTTCAAATTCTTAATAAACAAAGTTGACAGATACAAATGTGGTAAAGGAAGCTGAAGGAGGTGATACAATTATAACTTAAGATGTGTTGTTGAGACGTGAGTCTACAACTCTTACGTTATATATGAGAGTTGATCATATATTATATATTATTACATATGATAAGTTTTCAGGTGACATTGGGCGTGAGGAGGTACACTCCTAGGGCCAGATTCACGAAGCAGTTACGCAAGGACTTACGAACCTGTCCATCTTTTCTCAATCTTTGGCGGCTTTGTTTACAATTATTAAACAGTTAATGAGCTCTGAAGCACCAGGAGGCTGTTTATAACAACAACAACAGTTGATTGGCAAGTTTTCATACTTGTAAACTGTTTACTAAATGTAACCAAAGCCGTCAAAGATTGAGGAAAGATGTACACGTTCGTAAGTCCTTGAGTAAATGCTTCGTGAATCTGGCCCTTAGTGACTGCAAGTCGTACAGACAAAAGCTATTCACATACGAGCTAAATGACTGCTTGTCTAATTGCAGCGCCTCGTAACTCTTGTTGTAAAAGGCTTGGCAAACAAATGGTTTATTTCATATATTGAGGTGATTAGTTGGTTATTATTTTCCTGAGAGTGGGCCGGGCCTCAGACAGACTGCTTACTGGCGCGTTGAAATCGCCAGAGAACCACGCGACGGGCACTGTGCTAGGGGTGCCCAGCCATGGCTAGGAGTGCCCAGCAACGGCTAGGGATGCCCATCAATGGCTAGGAGTACCCAGCAACGGCTAGGAGTACCCAGCAACGGCTAGGAGTGCCCAGCAACGGCTAGGAGTGCCCAGCAACGGCTAGGAGTGCCCAGCAACGGCTAGGAGTACCCAGCAACGGCTAGGAGTACCCAGCAACGGCTAGGAGTACCCAGCAACGGCTAGGAGTACCCAGCAACGGCTAGGAGTACCCAGCAACGGCTAGGAGTACCCAGCAACGGCTAGGAGTACCCAGCAACGGCTAGGAGTACCCAGCAACAGCTAGGAGTGCCCAGCAACGGCTAGGAGTACCCAGCAACGGCTAGGAGTACCCAGCAACGGCTAGGAGTACCCAGCAACGGCTAGGAGTACCCAACAACGGCTAGGAGTGCCCAGCAACGGCTAGGAGTACCCAGCAACGGCTAGGAGTACCCAGCAACAGCTAGGAGTGCCCAGCAACGGCTAGGAGTACCCAGCAACGGCTAGGAGTACCCAGCAACGGCTAGGAGTACCCAGCAACGGCTAGGAGTACCCAGCAACGGCTAGGAGTACCCAGCAACGGCTAGGAGTACCCAGCAACGGCTAGGAGTACCCAGCAACGGCTAGGAGTACCCAGCAACGGCTAGGAGTACCCAGCAACAGCTAGGAGTGCCCAGCAACGGCTAGGAGTACCCAGCAACGGCTAGGAGTACCCAGCAACGGCTAGGAGTACCCAGCAACGGCTAGGAGTACCCAGCCACGGCTAGGAGTACCCAGCCACGGCTAGGAGTGCCCAGCAACTGCTAGAAGTACCCAACAACGGCTAGGAGTGCCCAGCAACTGCTAGGAGTACCCAACAACGGCTAGGGGTGCCCAGCAACGGCTAGGGGTGCCCAGCAACGGCTAGGAGTGCCCAGCAACTGCTAGGAGTACCCAACAACGGCTAGGAGTACCCAGCAACGGCTAGTTGCTGGTCACAGTAATAGTTGATACACAGTAGGTTAAGATACACAGTAGATAAAGATACACAGTAGATAAAGATACACAGTTGGTTAAGATACACAGTAGATAAAGATACACAGTAGGTTAAGATACACAGTAGGTTAAGATACACAGAAGGTTAAGATACACAGTAGATAAAGATACACAGTAGATAAAGATACACAGTAGGTTAAGATACACAGTAGATAAAGATACACAGTAGGTTAAGATACACAGTAGGTTAAGATACACAGTAGATAAAGATACACAGTAGGTTAAGATACACAGTAGGTTAAGATACACAGTAGGTTAAGATACACAGTAGATAAAGATACACAGTAGATAAAGATACACAGTAGATAAAGATACACAGTAGATAAAGA